CATCCCGGGCTTGTCCCTCCGATTCCTCAGCCTCCATGGAGGAGGCCGGGAAAGGGCTCCGGCGTCTCGTGCTCTTGCGCGCTCCCAGGTGGAAGCGTGGCCGCCACCCTCAGGCGGCTCCGAAACCAAATGTTACGAATAGGATGTGGGTGTGGGGTTCCTGCCCTCTTTGAGCCGCGGACCCGCCTCGCCGGGCACCTAGGTCCTTACAGGGCACCTAGGCGGGACCACCCCTCCTACTCCCGTATCCTAATATGGATAAAGGTTACATTGGGTGAGGAATAGTACGTGCCTTGGGCAGGGCGTCCCCCACACCAAGGGCCATTAGTAGGACGTCTCCCACATCAGGCTGGTGCGCGTAACACTCGGCAGCCGTTGGTTTCTAGAGGCGTTGGGGTCGCCCTGCCCTGCGGCTTGATTGTAGGAGGTTAGCCGGCCCTCTCCACCTTGGGCATTATGCGTATCTAGGATAAACGCTTCGATGGTCACGCGGTGGGCCCAATGCTTGACGAGGATCGTTCCCCGGGGCCTGTTGTCGGCGAGAGGTGGCGGCGCAGCGCGGCAGTGGTTTGTTGGCTCGCGGAAGGCCAGAGCATATGCCAGAATGGTGTTACACAAATTCAATGCATGCGCACGCACATATTGCATGTGTGATGCCCGATCGTGGGTCTATCGCAGTCACATCAAGACAAGACAACACATGTGCATATCCAAGCACCAAGCCCCCATTCACCCATGTCCGACCCGTTTCTCCATCGACTTAAGTACTAGCTCCTATCCGTACACAACTCTAAGTAGTACAACTTCAGAGGGCCGTAACTTTCTCAATTCTTAATGGATTTGGGCGTTTCAAAAGCCTAGTAGAGGTGGCCACCCGGATCCGTTAATAGCGGACAGAGGTTAATTTCCGTTAATTTTCCGTTAATTAATGGAAAATAACGAAAAAAAACAAAAAATTAACCAAAAATTAGCGGATTTTTGGATTTTTTGGGGATTTTTGGGTTTTAGTCATACTTATAGCTTATGGAATTCGCTATTAGAGAGTATGTTTGTATTTTATTTCAACCTATGCATACTATATTTTCAACTAGCCGCAGTTGTTGTGATTTTTTGGGTTTTTTTGCGATTTTTTTGGATTTTTTTTGTTTTTTCTGAATTTTTCTCCCTTTTTCTTTAACGAAATTTAACGGACAGCTGATAAAAATTAACGAACCGGATTTAACAGACCGGATGGCACCCTTGAATGGCCACCTCTAAAGCCTAGAAACATCAAGAACTTTTGAATAAGCCCGCAGAGGTCAAAAACTAAGAGATTACTAATTTCTGCTCAAAAATATCAATTAAACCTAACACCAAGTAGCCATGTCACACCATCCCCTCCTACATTTATGTCTGACCAGGGGGTTTGAATCTTGGATTGATGCTACCTTGGCATCTTCCAAAATGCGTCCTACATTCACTCTTGGAATGTACTCCAAGACACCATTCTGGCTTCAGACCATAATGGTCTAGGGAATGATGGGGAATGATTCCCCTTTCTCTTATTCCCTCTCTCTTGACATCCCTCGTCTTGTCAAACCCTCTCTTGATTGGTGGCATATATGTTGGTCAGACTTTAAGTCATTTCTTGAACAAGATTTGTTTCTTTCTTTACCACCTTCGACTCCTTTACTTCACCCTTCCGATATCGACGCTTATACCTTGATCCTTTTTGATCTTTTTAAGAAAGCGATCACTTCCCATATTTTTTTAAGTGTCCGTGCAGGTTCTCCAACCCGTGGTGGTCACCTGCCCTTGGAGAACTGAGGTCGAAGGTCCTACAATGCAAGAAAGCATGGACCAAATAACAATTACTGTTAAAAAGCAAAAATAGAACACTGCCAAGTAAAAATTGAACACTAATATACTAGAGGTGGCCACTCAAAGGTGCCATCCGGTCCGTTAAATCCGGTTTGTTAATTTTTATCAGCTGTCCGCTAAATTTCGTTAAAGAAAAAGGGAGAAAAATTCAGAAAAAACAAAAAAAAAATCCAAAAAAATCGAAAAAAAACCCAAAAAATCATAACAATTGCGGCTAGTTGAAAATCTAGTATGCGTAGGTTGAAATAAAATACAAACATACTCTCTAATAGCGAATTCCATAAACTATAAATATGACTAAAACCCAAAAATCCCCCAAAAATCCAAAAATCCGCTAATTTTTGGTTAATTTTTGTCTTTTTTCGTTATTTTCCGTTAATTAACGGAAAATTAACGGAAATTAACCTCTGTCCGCTATTAATGGATCCGGGTGGCCACCTCTATAATATACACAAAAAGAAGAGAGAAAGTTGGAGATAATTTTATGAGGATACATTTTACTCGGATTACTAGATAGCCTTCCAAAAAATTATACATCTAAAACGAACTGATGAGCTTCAAGATTTGATTGAGGATAGCCATCACATCATTGATGACCAGGGGAAGGTGGAGGCATTGGCTCGGCGATTTTTCCCCACCACGACACTCCCTGATGAGGATTTTCATCTTTAGATATCCTCAGATGTTTGTTCCTTTCTTCATAATACTCATCATGTTGCAAGTTTGCCCACTGCATCGTGATGTGAAAATGTCCTCATCAGTAAGTGCTATGATGCAGTTACGCTGCAACAATTCAGCAGTCGATGTCATATGCAAAAAATTTTCGAACTCTATCCAGATATGGGTCATTCAATGCACCAGCAAGTGCATACAAAGGCAATGTGCATAGCTAGTGCACCATCTGGCTATTTTCACCTGCACTGCACACTGAGGTCCCCCCCCCCCCCCCCCCCCAGCTCTCCATTCCTCGGCAAAGCCTACAAATGTGACTCCAACTTCAGAGGCATGACAGTGTGCAAAACAATGGACATACGGTCTGTGATGTGAACCACGGTGGCACAGAACATCGTGAGGCGCCAACATTTAGGATATCATATCCATTTTTGTACAGATGATGCCTGTCAGGTGTGCAAAGCATTGGGATACTCAGGCAACGGCACAAACAACCCAGCTGGTATTGTCTGTGTGGACTTGCTATTCATAGGCACACATACTGTCATTTAGTTGCATTGTTGTTCTGCCAGCTAATCGCCAGTACCTCTTGGCAGCAAGGGGATAGTTTGCAAGGTCAGTGTGGCCATTCTAGTGCCGCCACTTGCAGACTACCTCACTGGGTGAGGAAGTGTGCAACTACTTGTATAACGGTGGGTACTTGGGTCCAGACCAATCAACACATCCCTACCCAATGGCACTGTATCTGTTTGTCAAGTCCTTAAAATGAGGTTCGGCTTTTCATCTTAGTGAAGGGCTTTCTCAGTGTGAGGCATATGGAGATCCAGTACCCAGGGTGTGCATGCCGCACAGGGCGGTGATGGCCGCAGTGTAGCAACAGCTGGACATGGACATCCTTGGCAGCATTCAGAAATGGTGGATAAATTTGGGTGATGCACAGAGCAGCGCAGCTACAAAATTGAAGCACCTGATGTATATTGTATGTGCATGTGTGCTGTACACCAGCAGTGGCCATGCATGCTGGTGAATGGCGGAAGGGATTTGTGTCAAGGACAGTGGAAGGATCACTGAGCCATGTTGCTGTTAATGCAGGCTTAGGTGTAGGTGCTCACATATGCAAAGACAGCTGTCAAGGCAAGGTGTCTGAAGGAGTACAGCAGCAGTTGGCCCCCAACGACTCTTCAGGAAGTATTGCCATGTTGTGGCCAATGTCAACTGCTATATGCTTCAGGAACTGGGCATCCAAGAGTTTAATCTTATCAGAACTAGTCTGTGACACTGCCATTGAAGGCGTGGACTAACAGCTTGTCACTAAATTCGTGCTACAGTTGCACAGTGGCTACCCATGTCTTTTGGCCAGGGTCCATTTGCTGCTCTTGTATTCCTTGCAAGCATTTGGAAAAGGCAACACTTGCTACCATTGTGCACATTTCTGGCAAGTATTGGTCATCATAGTATTGCAAACACAGGCACATACACAATTGGTTGTTACAGTTTTGTTCCTTAAGGGCCACAGGCTCATTGTGGCATCTCTGCACAACCACCATCCTGCATTCATAAGGTTGAGCACTTGCCACCACATGCCCCTGCATGGATCTTTTTAGATTCGCCAACTGTCAAAGCACTTCTTTCAATGTGCTACAAACTAGGATGGATAGATTCTGGATTCTATTGTGTCATAAATTGGGTTCGCTGAGCAAATCATGGACCCCGCTTTGCTCGGGCAAATTGGGAAGAGGAGGGCTACCTCCTCGCCTTGCCCACTACAGCATCATGACGATGATAATGGCGAATTTATGTGAGTGATTCCTATTTCTGCTCCACGGCACAAATTCACCTGCCCCACCTCGAGGAAGCTCCGAGCAAAGCACGGCGGAAATCGCGGCCAAAGTACCCCACTTCCCGCCTCCCAAGCCTTGTAGTATCTGTCATTCCTGGCCCCGAAATCCATCCCGCCCCCACACTCCCCCTCCCCGGAGCAGCCGAGCGAGGGCCACCCCTGCGCACCGATGGCCCCTCCCGGGGACGCCCCGCGCCTCCCCCCGGTCGACCGCGCCCCGGACCTCCTCCGCGTGGCCGTGGCGCCCGACGGCCGCGTCAAGGCCACATTCGCCGACAACAGCATCCTGCTCCTGGATCCATCCGGCGCTTCATTCATCCACATCTCTTCGCAGGGCGCCCACGTGCGGCAGCTCAGCGAGTTCGCCGTCAGCCGGTTCGCTGCCCCGCTGGCTCTCGCATTGGACTTCCGCAACCGGCATCTGGACCAGCCCTTTTACTGCCGGTGGCTCAGGGCAAGGGCATCAGCCCAGGCCTTCACGACTGGGGATCCGATTCGGTCGGTAAGGTGGCCGGCAAGCGCGGAGGCGGCGATCCAATCGGGGGCTATGCGTGCATCCGGGGACGGTGGCGTGGCGGTGAGATCGGAGGAGGGATGCGCACGGCTGGCGCTGCACGGCCAGGGGACCAGGTTCGCAGTTTCCTTCCCGCTGCTGATAGGATCGGCGGCATCCGGAAGGTACGAGTATGTGTGGCAGACGCAGGCGTTCCCCGCGGGCAGGCACCCACAGCGCTGGACCCCCGGCCTGGCGCTCGCCTTAGCAGGCCGGAAACTCCTACTGGGTGGCCAAGAATCGGCCAATGTGGCCGCAACAGACAACGATAACGGCAATTGTGCGCATGTCGTGAGCAACCTGACCAGGACAACAACCCTGCCGGCATGCCCGGATCCAGTAACGCAATGCGCAGCCGGCGCGAATGATTTCCCGAACCCCTCGTGGTGGTTCGAGCCCACCACAGCACTCCTGCCGCGCGGCGAGGCGATCATGATCGAGTGGACGCCCGACGCCACGTACCATTACCTGCCGGGGGAGGACGAGGTGGAGGCCTGGATCCACGCGGACGCGTCGGTGATGTCAACGTTCCGCGGCGGCCGCTTTCTGAGGCATCGGCGAGAGGGGGCGGGGGCGGATGCGGAGAGGGTGTACGCCGCGCACGCGGTGCCGCGTTGGGGCTGGACGGCGGAGCGCGGAAGGGAATGCCCTCTGGCCGGCATCGCCAGCCACGCCCTTGCCCTCAGGTTGGGGCCCCGATCCCGATCCCCCCTGCCACAGTCATTGCTCTTGCGGGTCGTTTTCGTGGCAAGTGGCCGACTAACGGAGGATCACCACTGTGTGCGACTTGCCCACTTGCGAAGCGGCTGGCCAATGTGTGAGAATACCGTATTTACCCGGTATTAGTAGGCGTGTATTGGACCCTCAAAATGAGCAGTGGATACTAATAGTGGGTCATGGATACCAACGAGGCTCAGACCCCCTGTTCCAAGGATTACACGAAGAAAATTTTAAAATAGCCATTGAAATGCACAAAATGCATTTGAAATAATGTAAGATGCGATGCATGGGTAGCGACATTGCTGCTGCCACTACAAAATCCCAAATGGAACACAGACACGCATTCACAATCAATCGTTGTCCAAATCCATATCTGATGCCAATCTGTCAAAATCCTCATCAACACCTTCCTCAGTCATGAATAGTTTTGACGGGAGATGCCAGCATGTTCAGGTGGGCAGTGGCCCTACCGTGTGGCCTAGTTGGCGCGCATCTGGTCAAACTAAAGGCAAGCTTGGGCGAGCTTGGTGCAGAGTGTGTGGAGACTGGTTGTGAGAAGCGCCAGGGGTGAGGGCTGGTCGTGTGGCATGCATGTCACCAGGCGCGGCCCAGCGCTACCAACAACAACCATCGTGTTTTCCCCAACGGCTGGGAAAGGTCGAAGGAGACCCCATGGTGCATGGCAGGCACGTGCATATGTGGCTGACAGGCTACACTGTGCATAGTTGAAGTGGTTGGATGCATTTTACAATAGTTGTTGTGCAAACGGGTGCTGTGGGATCCAGTGTGACTACCCCAGAGGCGAGTGCCATGCTGAGCATTGTTACAGAAACAAGCAAGGCTGCCAGGTCTACTGGCAACTCTAGGCCCACAACTGTGCCGTAAACGCCTGGCCTGCAGTCGCTCGACAAGCAAACGGACTCTTTCCCCATCAGATTAGCTGCTTCAGCTGTGAAGCTTGCAGCCATCACATGCATCGCACTACAGGATGAGCAGCTTTTGGTAGTTGTTGCACGTTGAGGTCGTGCAACAAGAGTGTTGTGCAAACAAAGACATGAAAACTAGCTTTCTCTCCCCAAGACGAATCCAACGAGCCCTCTCGAGCTCGTTTCTGTTGAGATTTGGGGGTGGATACTAATTGGGGGTGCCTACTAATACAGGGTAAATACGGTATGCATCTGCAGTGCGTGGGTGCAGTGGATGGCCAGCGTGGGAGAACGTCTTCCAATCTGTCGCCTTAGACTGTCAGAACTATGGAACTCTTGTTCCATAGGTACTTTGGTGTTTTTATTACTTAGCATTATAAGTACTTTAATGCCTCAGTGCTTAAGTGTTTTAATGCTTTAGCATTACTAGCCATTCGTATGGTGCTGTCTGTGCTTTGTGGTGCTGTAATACTTTCAGCACTTTGGGTCTGGTATGCGCAAAGTACGCGTGATGCTTGGGCAGTCAGCAAAATTGCCAGCCGAGGAAATAGGCCCGATGGGTACCAATAATATTGCATACAACGTTGTCACTACCACCCCAAATAGGCCGCAAGATAAACGACCATTTGAGAGAAATGAACACATTAATGGACACTTACCGGTCTTTGGATTATTTGGGATTGAACTGGTTTTAGAGAACTATTCCAGGACCGGTTCGACAAAACACCTCCATGGATGGGTCGGGTGAATTGACACTACAGCCAGAAAAAGCGCATTTTTATTGGCACTTGTGCGATATTTGTGCATGAATGCCCTCAACGGAAACGACCCTGATTTGGGGCTTCTCGTCGAGGGCTAACTGTCTGCCATCACAACGACTTTCGCTTAGAGACGCAGTTGCTGCGCTGGTGTAAACTGACGGCCCGTGAAAACCAACAACGAGCAACGGCAGTATCTAAGCATAACTGGTCGCTGTTCTAAACTCGTGAGCGGCCACTGAGCAGAGTCGCCAGCACGTTGTCGGCAACTATGTCGGGTCGCAATTGGTTGCAGGTTCCGAGCTGGGGCTGTCAACAAAGCACCAACCATGGAACAAGAAAAATCGCAGCTGCTGGCTTCCGCTGGCGGGAAAAGAACCCTGAACACGCGATTGAGATTGCAGCTTAGTGGTTGGCGGTTTCAAGACGCCAGGGTGCTGTTTTTTGCTGTGCTGCAGCAAGACAAATGATGAAACGAAGTGTGCAGGAAAGGATATGTTCACACCCAGTCAAACTGTAAAGAAGCAGTGAAACGAAGTGACACAATGACAGCCGTTCAAACCTCAGCTCGAAGCAAATGGTGAAACTGGACACAACGACTCCCACCACCCCCACAGGGAAAACGCCTCCCGGGCGCCGTGCCTGGACCCGTCTGACTCCAAGACGCCTCCCGAAACGTCACTAGCGCCGGCTCCCAGGCGGACCCCGGAGCCCAACGACGTCGTCGAGGAGCAGACCGTCCCGGAATATGGCATCTTTACGGCCTACGGCGATGGCCGTGTGCGAGTGCGTTTCGCGGACAGGACGCTGCTGAGCATGGACTGCAACCGAACCACATGCGACCTAATCCTGCGAACTGGAGAGAGGGTGGAGGTCAGTGTACATTTCTCTGGGTCGAGCACAAATGTGTTGTTTATGCTTGGATTGATGGGGGAGTCATCTTGTGGATCGATTTGGCCCGTTAGGAAGGATCGGCGAAGCAGGATGTTTTCCACTGCATTGTAGAGTAGTTGTCGCTGGGAAACATGTTCTGCTACCGCTGATCCAACATCGTTGCAAGACATTCACACTCTTCTGGAAAGGCTTGTTGTTTGCGTGTGTGACACAACGTTCTACGTATCCATGTTTAGCTACACATGCGAAATTGCAGGCACCCATATTCGCGTGCACGCTTATGCATGTGTGTGTGGGATTTGCCACAACAGTTTTGCTACTGGCGCTGACAGTTGGTCAACTTGCAGCCCCCTCGATTACTCAACTTGGAATGTTCCATAGTATTAACTTCACATGACCAATGCACGACTGCCAGCAGCTTAGCAAATTTGCGCACTGACTTAATTGTGCAAATGGTGCATGCTTTGGCCAATCACTGACATTTCCATAATTTCAAATGCGTGATTTCATCCCTTGGCATGGAGTACAGTGCTCAGCACGAACGTCGGTGGTTTGATGCGCATTGTGGCTATTGTCTAGCAATCATTTACAGGCGCAGCTAGCCTAAAAGGAAGATTGTCCAAAATAAGGATTTCATTGTTGACAGGGGTGGTGGCGGACCAATCCTGCACTCTCACGCTTTCTTGTTGCCGGTTCCCACCATTTTCGAAAATTTCCAGGCCATTCAGTCACAGTGTTCTAGCGCGAATGTCACTTAGGTCAGCGTGTCCAAGCCGGCGGGCGTGGAGGCTTACGTGATGGCGGCCGAGGAATTTGCGACTTGGGCATTCATGACGCCCGCCGAGCGTGCCGGGGTGGCGCGCACAAGGATGGCTATCGAGGCCGCCGCCGATCACTGGGGCAGGACGGCGGTGGTGTCTGGACACCCTCGTTGAGCCCAATCTGATTGCTCGTATTGGGCCGCGACGCATCGCTGTTCATTGGCTCGTCGGGCGGTGCAGAATGGAGGAAATCGCGGGAAGATGTGCAGCTGAGGGTGGCGATGCGTTGGCACAGGGCTGAAAAAGGAAGGAGGAAATTGGGTATTGACAGGAGAATTCGGGGTGTGTAAATTTGGAGGGGTCTACGCCCACCGACTGGTTGTGTTGTCGATGCGATCCTCTTTTAAATTGGCTCCTGACACCGGCATCCGCACCCATGCCTCAACTCGCTCGTGTAACCGACGTGGATTTGCGTTGCTGCTGCAAGAGTAAGGAGAGGTGTTGATGGAGATGGGCCGGAAGGGAATCATTTAGTGTGGTGCTAACTTGACATGTCCATTGTGTTGGCCTATTGGAAAGGCGGCCGTTGATACGGAATCTGGCAATCCAGAGGCTTCGGGTCCTTTCCGAAGCCGCGGCCATGATGCATTGTGGATGCGTGCGAAATAGCAATTGGTGGGACGAACGGCATTCTAATGTTTCACCCATTGAACCTGTTTGAAGAGATGCGTATTTCGCCTTTAGGCTTGTATACCTAAACAGTAGCGCGTGGTTGACAGGCCTGCAGGTGAAACACGTAATCTGTTCGTAGTTTTATGCACTGGTGGCCACCGTAAACCGTCTGCAGGATAGAGCAATGCGTTCATCATCAATGCATTCACTCTGACTGCCTCATGCAGAAGCAGCGTTTCGGACATGGACACAGCCATTTGAAAAGGTAATCGTCAGTGATCACCGGTTCGCTCCGTGCTACCGGTTCGCTCCGTGCTCCGTACATACCGGTTCGCTCCGTGCGCGTGCAGCCAGCAGATTTCCTTGGACCGGGTTTGTTAGAAATGGAACCGCGCATTCGAGCCCATTCCCATATATGGGCGAGTGCTAATACCTGTTCGTACAGACGCCCGCAATAGCGACCTGTCACCAGCTTGCAAACCAATGCACTTGCACTGCACATACTGTGCTTGCACTCGGCAAACAGTTCCTCACTCATCGTGCGACGTGCATTAAGGTGCAGTATATCTGGCTTGCGCATATCCGTCCATGTGTTTCCTGCCTCAGCTCGGAGAACCGATATTCGCCTGGGCAGAGCCATGGCAGACCCAGCCCAATCCGTTGCCGCCTTGCTGGTGTCTTGGCTTGGTTCACCAGATGAGGTAAATGAGGTCAAGGGACTCGCAACTGGCAGGCCATTGTCCAGTGCGCACAAAGCAAGGGTCCCGGCGCAGAAAACGGGAAAAAGCTCGCATCCGTTCATTGTCGTGACCGTGCCTCTCCATTTCCGTCGTATATGGGCACAAATCCTTAGTGAAGTGAAATAAGTCAGGCTGCAGGCTTCAACTAAGCGCAACTGCCTTAGGCTCCTGCATCAGGAAAAAGGGCAAGAGTTTTGGAAACGGCGGCCGTGTCGTCGTTCCCCGTATCTGAGTCTCAAATTTCCTGTGATTTGGGGAATTGATGACAAGCACGCTCCATATTGATTGAGATAATAATCCCCATGTAGCGGTGCCAAGAAAAATGCAGACTATCGCTCACCCCGTCAAACAGGATCTGGGGATAAACAAGATCCAGCCCAGCCGACCATCGGTCACTATACCGCATCACCCTGCTATTGACACAATCCTCAGCTATAGTCACGCAACTGATTCGGGTATGCATGATGGTATTGCATCCATCTACTTTACTATATCTTGAAAATGGGTGCAGACTCAAGCAAACGTAATAACGGGCCTAGTATGTAAAGAAAGAACCCTCATAAACAGATAATTCTGCATGTGAGTTGCGCCCAGCATCGCATTCAATATGGTTGGATACTGCACCAGGCTGAATAGCTTGTATGTTCGGGCAATAGAATACAATGTCTTGTCTGCACCTAATGGAATTGACTCAGCAGCATTACCTACAGTGGTATTCAATTTCCAGGTGCTTTTAAGGAATAAAGCAATCAAAGTTGTGCTGATTTTAGCGGGTTTAAAAACAGGATTCTAAATGCCATTGTAAATGAGGCGGGCAGCCTCAATGGCTCCAAATTGATCCATTCTAAGGGCTTCTTTGTAGATCAAAGACTTGCAGGAGCCTTAGGAACAAGTCACGGGTTCTTTGCCACTTATCAGTGGCGCTTTCGGGCACCTTCCCTCCTTATGTCGATTTGTGGCAATTACATAATCTCAGAGCGTCACAGGTCTGGACCCATCCCCCATCACACCCCTCGTAGCGTCCATTTGACGCTAAGCACGACCAAATCGACTTAGTGTCTTGCCTTAGTGTAAGATGCCGTTGTGCGAAGGGCCTCCTGTTCTTAGGCCGTTTCACAATTTAGCTGTCACACATAGTGACGCGGCGCAATAGGGCGCAGCATTCGCCCCAATATTTTCGTGGATTCTTTCGCTGATGTCCCCAAGCAGCGGACAATTACCTGCAAGTGGCCAGGGGTAGGTTTTTCTTGTCCATTCTGACAATTGCAGGCCATGTAATCGCACATCAATTCGATGATTATCACTGCCATTGCTTCTAATTTGCAAGTTTATGCCAAAACTTTTATTTGCAGAACTGCCAGCATTCTGCCTGCGTTCCGATTTAGGACATGTACCATAATCATTGCTTGTTAGTACTTAATTTGGTGCTTTCGTAGGCAGCGGGCTTGGCCGTGATCGCTCTCCCAGGTCTGTGAGAGGCCCCTGCTGCCCCCGACCCCCCGGGGCGGCCAATCCGGCGGCCGGCCGCGCAGTCGCTGCTCCCCACCCAGACCGCGGGATGGAGCTCATCGGCGCCATCGACCAGGGCACCCAGAGCACGCGGTTCTGCCTGTACGACGCCAACGCCGTGCCCGTGGCATCCGCCCAGCTCGAGTTCAAGCAGTACTACCCGCACCCGGGGTGCGTCGGCGGGCGGCCCGCGTCTGGACCACCGGTGGCTGTGGCGCGGTTGGGCGGACTGCTCGAAGGCGATCGCTTGAAGGGGGTGGGGGTGGGGGGAGGGGGACGGGGCTCTTGCAGCACAGGCGCGTTTTGAAGGGTAAGGGGGCAATGGAATGTTGCTCGCCCGCCCTGTTTACAGAAGACGCGACCTTTTAGTGGTTCGACTTTTTAATTGACGTTGGCCTGAACGGTGAAGAGAACGGGGGAATTGGCAGAAGGACCTGGGTGGGAATTAGATTCTAAATGGGTGGGGCCATTGCCGCGGCTGGATGGGCAAGCCGCCTGCCGCCCCAATGGCTCAAGCGGTATGCTGGATCTGTGGCCTTGGAGCCTTGATCGTCATCACGGCTGCTGAGATTGGAGATCTGCGGGTTGCGCTCCCTGCTTCTGATGCGCTTGATGTGGGATTGAGCATCCAGCCTTTCGACCCGATGACGAATTTATACAGGTGTTTTCGATGATTGGCTGGACAGAACTAGGAATGGAGTTCTTGGGAATGGGAACTTGTATAGGAGTTGACGTGTTTGGGGCTGATCGTTAACTTGCCATGTTGTTCCGACTGTCCAGATGGTGCGAACACGACCCGATCGAGGTGTGGGAGAGTATCATGGTCGTGGTGGCACAGTGCATGGAGGTAAACTCTGTTGCCATTGGCACATGCATAGCTGTGAACTGAAAAACCCTGCACTTAGGAAATAATAAACTTCTGAAAATCCACAAATAGTTGTGACCAACAAGGCAAAGATATCATACTGGGGTACGAAAATGGACTCATATTCGCCTAATTGTCTAATCATCCAGTGATGCTATCTTTGTGTGTGTATAAATACTTACCAATGCTTATTTCAGTGCTACAGATTCGGCTTTCAACTTGTTAGTACAAGGTGGTATCGCACCCTAGATTTAGTCAAGGGCTGATATAAAGAGTAAGCCATTTGCCAAGATATCAACTTGCACGAAAGCAGACTTTCATAGCCCCAGAGTGCTAAGTTGCCTGTAGACATTGCAATGCACCCAAGAAAAGCCACCATACACTATGTGGGTACATTCCCTGTGTTGTTCTGCAATTGGATGTGCCTTGCTCAGTTTCACCTTTACTGTTGGTGCCGCCATAACCAACTCTTGTAAATTTGCCTGCACCCAACTTTTCATTGCTTCCTTCCTTGCTGCATTCCGTTTCCCCTTGCTTGGCTCTCTCCAATTGTCATGAACGTGGCCAAGGATGTCACTGATCGGTGTTGCCCAGAGCTGCACTTTGATCGCTTTGGATGCAGTTTGAATTTAGACCCCCATATTTATGTGGGGGCCGCACATACCTGTTTGTCAAATCTCTCATAAGTTTGATCGAATTTGCATGGCGTGGCCTGTGCACAGAGGGCGAAGGAAGCACTGGGCACTTTTGAGGTCAAGGCGCTGGGGATAACCAACCAAAGGGAGACCACTCTTGTTTGGGACAGGGCAACAGGAAAGCCACTGCACAATGCCATCGTGTGGTTGGACACTCGCACAAGGTAAGAAGAGCCATTTGGGGAGGGGGAAACAAAGGCCACCACTTAGCTGCGACTCGCTGGCACATGTTGTCACTATTGCCGTTGTCACCATTTTTGCCATCCTTGGCATCCATTGGCATTGTTGCCACTGGTTGCCTTGCCTGCTACCCTGAGTGGTTTGCATTTATTTTGCATTTAGAGATTTTGTTTCCGTCTCACAACAAGAAAGAAATTGCACCAAACAATTTTGTTCCAGAGGGGAAAATAATTGTATCACACGTTCTTCTTTCCCCCACACATGATCTTGAGAAAACATTACACAGTTTAGTGCTCTAACAGCAGAGATACCCCACCTGCATTCCCCAGTCCTCAACTTTGAGTGCCAAGTGGACACCTTTGCCTTAGAATTGTTGCAATCAACATGATATTACCAGTGCTTTGGGACTAGCTGCGCATTACATTGCAGCTATGGACCCACATCTATTTAGTCAGTATGGGCATTGTGCCTGGATTGGTGAACATGTTGGAGGGAAGAATGAAATAAACTAACGAGCAGAGTTGCTCATCACACATATGTTCGAACTCTCGCATGTCCTGGTTGGTGGGGAAGACTCACAGCAGCTACGTATACCTGATGGTGGCAGTCTGACACTTGTGTGAAGTGGGCTGGCCCATTCAATTACACCCACACCAGTTTGACTGTGAGAGGAACACATGCACAGTTTGGGATAAAACAATGATATGGACAGTGTTCCACTTGCTTGCATTGATGATGTTGGTTTTGTCAGTGTTTTATTGAATGCCTGGCATTAGCTATCAAAGGAGCCATGTCTTGAGTTGACTCTCTCTAAGTGCACAAGTGCATGGACTGGCAGCAATCATGCTGAGCAAATGGTGTGACAAATTGTTGTTTCTAATTCTGAACCTTGCACACTGGTTGGGATAACAATCAATGCACCCAGAGTTCCATTTCTGTGAAGTACCTTCACAGCACAGGAACAACACGGCTCCCATTGAACTTAGGGCGATAGGGAAGTGGCACAATTGGCATCGTGTGTGCACAAGCAATGAATTTTGTTGCGCTCTGTCTCCAAGCAAGGGGAGAGGTTCAGCTATTCCTTTGCTTGCCTGCAGAGAAATTGCACAAAGACTGTCGACGCAGCTTGGTGACAAGGTATGTCTGCCCTTATTTTTTATGGTGCAGGTTCTTTTCAGAATGTTCAGCACCTGACTCCTCACAGAGCATATTGCAGCTTCATATACACTGTAGTACTGTGGCAATATTGTGCAGTAATGCACTGTACTACTGTATCATCTGCCCATAGCAGACTTTTGGAGATAGATGCAGGGTTGATGTCCATGCCACCAGATTTGGGCCTGTTGCTGGGCTCACATCCAGTGCCTTTTTGCTGCATGGTTGTACATTTTGCAGCAAAGCTGAATTCTTCTTCACTGCAATGCCCTGGATGATCTGCATTGGTTACATTAATAAAAATGTTGCAAATCACTGGCCTCTTGAGATGTGTTGGGTTCTTTGTCCTTGGTATCTCTTTAATTTGCTTTGTGCTGCATTTCTTGAACACTTGATGTCAACCTGCCCTCCTTTGTAGATACGAATGCTGGTGATGCCTTCCTGCAAAGACTGTGCTTGCACAAATTCCTACAACCAACTGCCACTTAGCATTTTCGAATTTGCATCTCAGCACCTGCATCACATCTTCCAAAGCTGATTTTCATTCCTATATTCTGAATTGGAAAGGAACATCTTCCACAGTGCAGAAAACTGTCTTGTTGGAGCTCTTTTCCAGGAAGAGGCTAGTGCCCATTGCATGTCATGTTTATTGTCTTGACATGACAATCTCAAACTTGCATAACCATCAGACAGGCTGCCCACCATCTGTGACTAGCGACTTCACCACACTGCATGGGTTTAGAGCATAGTGTTCAGAAGAGTGTGATTAATGTGTTTTAGGGCTATTTTAGAGCTGTCACGGGGCTGCCCATCAGCACATACTTTTCAGGGGTGAAACTGCGCTGGCTGTACGAAAATGTGCCTGAGGTCAAGGCTGCCGTAGAGGCGGGGACATGCATGTTTGGAACAATGGATTCTTGGATCATCTACAAACTCACAGGCGGTGTAAATGGAGGAGAGCATGTGACAGATGGTGCGCTGTGGGGCACTCCTGGCACAGATTCTCTGGGAGCATGTTCATGTTCTGCAATTATCAAGTATAGGAGCTGGTGCAAAACTATAGTCCATTGGAGATTTCTGTCCAAGAAATCTATGACACGAACTGCCCACAACATATTCAGAGTCTGCAGTGTGCATACTCCAGAGTTGTGGTCCACCATGTCCTGGGTTTCTCAATGTTAAATCTCTCATGGCCACAAAGTTAGTGGGCAATGTCGTCTGGGTAGACTTTTGCGATTTGCGTTGCAATCAGCACATGCATGTGCATTAGCACTAAGCATGAACACGAGTGTGGAAATGGCTGTGGATAAATGCCTACTGTGTCCTGGATCAACGTCCTTGCGGTAGTGGACCCCAGAATCACTGCCAACTGTTAAAACCTAGAACTACATCTTGCCTGCTAAACAACAGCATTGTTTCATAGTGCAAACAATGGAGGTTGTTCCTGCCCACAGTTCCTCCAACAGTATGCTCTTCATGAAGTTCGGCATGAGGAATGAGCTGACCTGACAGTAGGCTGGGCACTATCCACATATGCTTGTGGTGTGTCTGAGCATCAGTGCAGAGAATGGTCGAGAACAATGACAGCAGACAGATTTCTTTTTGGTAACAGTTCTGGCTCTGAAAGGAACAGTTGTCTTCACTGAAGACTGTGCTTGCAACCAGCTTGTGAATCTGAAGCGTGCTTGGTCCCTGCCTGTGCACATGCAGCCCAGCATTGGGAGCAGTTAGGAGGCTGATTGATCAGCCACGTTTTATGACTGCACTGAATGTGGATATGCAAGACCCTCAGTGGTGTACCTTGTGTCCTGGCCACCAGTGACCAATGCATCTCGCACCCTCATGATGGACTTGGCATCAAAGCAGTGGCATGTTCCTTACCTGGAGATTTTTGGGGCCAAGCCTGCCATGATGCCTGAGATCCGATCCAATTCCGAGATTTATGGGAAGGTCAAGGAGGGCCTTTTGGCAGGCGTGCCGATCTGTGGCTGTCTGGGTGACCAGCAGGCCGCTATGCTGGGTAGGAACACGCTTCTGCATTCGTTACTCAGAGCAGTAGGCATTTACAGGACATGAGAAATACAGACATAAACTCAAATATTGATAGCCTTAGGGGCTCCTATTTGGGGATTGCAAGCGTGTTTTCTTTTCATTTCCACCATTGGTTTGTGTTTATTGGCCACTGCACAAGGCTGTGCTGTGGCTGTTCATTAACTGCTTCTCTAGAAGAACTGAGAATAAGAATGTGTAGATGTATTGGCACATCGATGCAAATAGCACAGTTTGGCATGTATGGTGCTTGAATTTGAAGTACCATCGTTGTTTGTGCATTCATGAATTGGAGGTGTCACACTAACATATTTGTAGCCTCTCTTTCTCTATGTTCACATGGATGCAGCTGTGGATTGTTGTGGACACCATCTTTTGCTGTCAGTTGCTTCTGTGATGACCTCGATTGTTGCCACAATGCGACTGGTTACAGAGGTTATTGTTCTTGTTCGATTCCACAATATCACATCATTTTGCAGGTCCAGCTGCCATCCCTGTCATAACAGAAGAGATGTGTGGACTGTGCCACTGAACAAGAAATAGAAGGCGATCTAAAGCCCCAAAATTTGTCCATGTTTGCATGATTGTCTTGTCTCAAAAAAGAGTAGTTTGGCACTCTGGGGTAGGAAAGGGTGCGGTTGGGTAGGCAGTTGGCCTGCAAAAGTTCAGGGCAAAATTGCAACAGCTTAAGTGGCTTCAACTGTGAGATCTACTACTACTTTCCTGGATTCGCAAGGGACAGTTACTGCAATGAATGCAACTGTTTCATGCAAGTGCAATATATGATGCATATATGATCTGTGAGTACGATTATCGATTGCTGTTTCATTGCATTCATGGAAGCACAGCACATCGCTGCCCTTTTATGCATTGGGCAATGCTTGGGATGTGGGCTCAGCAGTGGGTGGGGAATCTGCAGATCCTATGAGGGCATCTGATCCCACCTCGTCTAATGTTGCTCAGTATCTGCAGCATTGCCAGCACCTTTCAAATTTTATGGGTATGATATGTACTGCCTTGGAAACCCGATACTAGTCAGCCTTTGGTGATCTTGTTGCTCTAAATGTGCATCCAGTGATAGCAACATATGTAACATGGGACATTTTGAAGAGCATACACGAGATTGTCATCAACTTAGCTTCCTGTGACCACATCACCAGTTTGGCCTCCAATGCTTCTTGTAGTTCAATCCTGCCTTCAAATTGATATCCCGGTTCTGTCATCATTCAGGCCAAAGGTGTGTCACTGGTGAAGCCAAGAACACATATGGCACAGGGTGCTTCATGCTGCTCAACACTGGTAACAAGATCGTGCCTTCCTCCCATGGCCTGCTGACCACTGTGGCCTTCCAACTGGGGCCTGAAAAGGCGCCACAGTATGCTTTGGAAGGTGTGTTCCCCATACCCATGCACGCTACAGTTTGGGGCTCTCAAACCCTGTTGGGGAGAATGCAAGTCTTCATGATTGCATTTGTCATGACAGGGAAAGACTGCAATGAGCTCATCAGGTGATGTCCAGGTGTTGTTCTGGACAGATTCGAACTGGTGCTCCTTGCCTGCTGCATGGAGCAGCATAGACACAAGCTGCATTTGGCATCATTGACTGGCAAACGTTTCAAAGAGAACTATTTGTGTAGATGCACATCACAGTCCCTCCACTGCTTTTGCTGGCCCCAAATCTTCTTGGTGCAGGACAGATACCAATGGCCTCCACAACAACCAAGATGCCCACTATTGTTGTTGGCAAATCAGAGTGTTCCCCAAGAGAACAATGTGCTCCCACTGCCCATTGAAGCATCAAGTTGATGATGCTGGTGTTCAGGAAGCTATTTGTGCACATCTGCAAGTCTGCTTGCAGTTCATCTTAATTTATCTGCTCATGTTAATTGTATGATGGAGAGGTAAGGCCCCAAATTCATGGACGAGAGATTTTCAGTTTTAGTGAAGTTTCTTCCAAAGTTGTTCCCATGAGTTTGAAGTATACGGTCAAATAATCAAGACAATGTGCTAAGTATTGGACATTGTTCATGTCAGCGAATGCTGGTTCACGTGCTGTGTATCATCCCTGCTTGCCACTCCAGCAGATTCCCTGAGTGCTACTTGTTGGCCACTTGTCATTCATGCTGTACCTGGCTCTGTGCTTTCCTGGTGCACACAGAAACCCCTGCATCATCTTCAGTGTGTGAAAAGTGTCTTGAAACCTGTGGCTCTGGAGACTTAGCCATTGTGAAGATCGCCTCCTTGACGAGGAGAAAGGCATGTCCAACAGTACCAAGCCAATCCTGAGCAAGAATTTGTATGAGGCTCTTTTCCATACTATAGAAGATGATGCAGAAGTGTCTGAATGCAACAGGAACAGTACGCAGCGCAGAGCACCATGTATGGCAAGAAAATGTGCACTAGGGGCCCATATGGCCATCGTATGGTGTGCATATTGTCTGCACGTTTCCCATCTGTTTTGGGACGACTGTCATGTTGCCCTGTCAACTTCTATCAGAAACCACAATGTGAAAAGGAGCCTAGGAGAAGCTGGCTTGGGAGAGGTGTGCCCCTGTGCGTGGCATGCTGCCTTTTGTGTTGCAGCAATCGCTGTGCTGTGTGTTGCTGACTCTGATCGAAATGTTGTGGCATGTCCACGTATGCTGTGTTGAAATGCTCGTCTTTGATGTGTCTACTGACTTCGAATGAAAGGTCGCACATGCGTACCTGCCCAGGCGCCATCGCGATCGCAGGTGCGGTCATAAGCTGGCTGCGCGACCAGCTGGGTGTCCTGAACACTGCAGATGAGAGTGAGGCTGTGGCTCGTCTGGTGCCGGACACCAGTGGTGTCTACTTCGTGCCAGCATTCAGCGGACTACTGGCTCCACACTGGAGGGACGATGCGAGGGGCATCATTGTCGGGCTCACAAGTGAGTTGTTTTCACTTCTAAACGAGGGCATATTCCTTGCTTGTGTGTCCTCGTTCATACTGTGTTAGATTGCTGTCAATCCATCCACCCATCCAGTGTGTCAGGTTGCTATGTGTGCTATGCCACCTGCATAACAGAGCCACTCCCCTCTGCCTACAATGCTCCTATGCCGCATGCCATTAGTTCAGTGTTGTATTAGACATGGAGAATGTGAAGCCATCAGCTCCCCTTATAATCCCCCAAAGAAGCTTGTAGAAGAAGCCACAGGGTTGTTCCAGAGGAATGACATGGTAAGTTGCCAACAGTTGTAGACATGCTACAGCATTGGAACACATCGCTTAATTGTAGTTGGGCAATTTTGCAACACAGTGTTGATGCTTGTGGGTAGTGTACTTTGTTGGCATAGCAATGGCATCGTGCTCTGCAATGGTTCTCTGCTCTTTCAGTGTAAAATGTGCAATGCAAAATATGTGTTCTTATGTCCTTGATGGTCTATCATCGCCTTAATAACGCGTGCAAACTTATCATGCGATGGGCCGTCTTGCGTTGATGGTCGTATTTCTAGGCCCAAAGGCATACCTGTGGCATTCAACTTGAAGCCGCCACTGCACAGCTCCACAACACAAATTCCTGCTTTATAGCTGCCTCACAATTGACCTAAGCTTCCTTTGCTCATCCAAACTGTGAAAAGCGGTGCAGAAAGTGACAAGGGACGAACAGAAGAGCAATCAGGACTGTGGAGTCTGTACTGCGAAAAAGGTTCAGAGTGCATGTGGCCAGATTGGCCTCCATTGTTGCCTCGAAAATATGCAGTCGTACACTGCTTGACACATGGATTGGCCAACATGCGGTGCGTTACTTCAGCCGCCGATCCTCCACGTGCGTTTTGTAGAATAGCAATGCAGTACGAGCAGACTGGAAGAGTGATGCGCCGCCAGAATGCTCTGAGAAGATACCTGCGAGGCATTGCATGCCTGCAAATTCGGTTTGCATCCACATGTATAAAGAGCTGACTCTTATGCTCACAAGCGTGCACGTTGACAGTAGCGACGGTTCAGAGATCACAACGTCCAAGTGAACCGTGTACAATGGCGCCCGCTTGGCCATAATGTAATCTCTACCACTGCGGGCAATGCTGGGCTCGTGTGCTATTTGCCTGGGCCCATGAGCAATATCCCCGTGATTGCCGGCGAACGCACCAAAATGCAGCACTTGTTAGTATTACATGACGCCATTCATTACCACATGAAACACAACGTCGACAATTTTTCTACAAGTTTATGGTGGATGTGAAATTGGCTCTACAGAGTACACTGGCCTTGAGTCTATTCGGCGACGAGATGACACTTGGCACACCGTGGCATCAGACACCTGCGGAAGGAAACGGCGCCAGTCATGGCGTTAACGGCGCAAGGGCAATGGCTATTGTGCGATCTCTCATGTAGGAGGATTCGCGCGGTTGCCGATTTTGGCCACATGTGCTGCCAACATTGGGTGGCACGTAATTGGGCTTAAGCGGAACTCACTGGAGCCAAATGCGTTCCATTGCCCCCGATTTTCCCGGCAATGATTTGCGAACGACGGCTGACATGTTAACCCCTCAAGAGAAATACCTTCGTCCACCGCGATGTGCATTTGTGTTGTCGCCGATTGATGGTTTCAGTGTTTTTCATCAACGGTGGGTGGTGTGCCAGCGTACTCCAACAGAAGCCACCTGGTCCGTGCGGCGCTAGAGGCGATCTGCTTCCAGAGCCGGGAGGTGTTGGATGCCATGCGCAAGGACGCAAATTTGGATGCTGTCAAGGGGCTGAAGGTGGACGGGGGCGCCACAAAGAACAACCTCCTGCTCCAGATTCAGGTGCAAATGCTGGGTGTCTCGGATTTGGATCATTTGGCAACATGTTCATGTTTGAGAACATCTGACCCAACTGAACTTCAGTGTTTGTGTGAGCATTTGGGAACAGTGGATTGCACCTATGCACGTTGTCCTAATTCGCTTTGTCGCTGGCATTTATCAAGTGTTATTAGCAGCGTCAGCCATATGTATATTGCTATTTGGCGGTTGCAGTTGATACAGCTAGTTCTTTCGCGCGGGCATGGCTTCACCTGGGGGAGTTCTACCCAGAATATGCTGAAACCAAGTCAATTATTAGCCGATTGTTTATTTGACTAGCAGACTAGGACTAAGATTCGAAGACACTTTTAATGAGAACGGGGGTTGCGCTTACGATCCCTAAATAAATGGGCTTCGTAATGCAGCAACATCCACTTGGAGTCCAAATGCGAAAACGGAAAAAAACTGGAATGACTATATGCGAGCAACGAATGCATTTTTGCTCGGAATTCTATCTGAAAGATGTACCGCAGATCACGGGAATAGCGCCCCCGGCGTTGAGCATAATTGCTGACGACAGGAATGTGCGATGCGCTATCTTGCCTGCCCTAGCGCTATCTTCCGTGCCCCCCTCGCGTTCCGCATCAGGTCGCTGACACAATAGCGGGCGCTCCCCACCCCCACCCCCCCGCCTTATCGCGCTGGCGCGCGTACCGGCCCCAAAGCATACTGGCGCCCCACCAATTTAGCGCATTACGTAAGCCGCCATTCACGGCAGCAACCAAAACGGGGGCCAAAAAAAGTGAAGAGACGCCACAGTTCGCTGCATTACGCCGCGCCACACGTGCTGCCAGATTGATTGGCAAAGCGAACTGGCGCCTGGCCAATGTAGCGCATTACATAGCATCACATGAGGCGCCCATAACACGCCAACCAAAAGCAACGGATAGCAGCCAATGGAACGTTGCACTTCACTGTGCTATGCCACTGAGAGAAGGACGCTGAGAATCTTGAAGGCATGGTGTTTGATTGAAGGAGGAATGTCATTGCACTGTGCAGTTGGAGTGGGCTTGATAACATTGGGGTGATAGCACATGCAATGAGGTGTAAGAATGTGTGAGAATGCTTTTGCATTATGGTTGTACATGACGTTGCAATGAATAGTGCGCCCCTCCTCCCCCCCCCCTCCCCCCCTCCCCTCCCCCCCCTCCCGTGCTACCTCCTGCGCTCTGCAACACCGACCATGTTTGATAACGCCTGGGGCGTTCCAAAGGCCCCCGCGCTATTCAACGCCCTGTCCCCCGTGATCTGCTGTACACATTTTGTGTATTAAGATGAAAATATGAAAATGAAAATGAAAGGCGCTGCAAGAATATGGACAGCGCTGTCCCCTGGTTTGCGAGCTGGAGAGCGCTTTCTTGGAATGTCTTCGAATGTCTTTCCTCTCGTGCGCTCAGGCTGACCTGCTGGGCGTCCCAGTCCTCCGGCCCGACAACCAGGAGACAACGGCCCTGGGCGCCGCCCTGGCCGCGGGGCTGGCCGTGAAGTTCTGGACGGAGGCCCAGATCTTCCGGAGCGGCAGCGCCAAGCGCGACGAGTTCTCCCCCCAGGTGTCGCGCGCCGACAGGGAGGCCAGGTACGCGAAGTGGCGGAAGGCAGTGCAGAGGTCGCTGGACCTCACTGATCTGGTCAGCTGATGGGACGCGCAAGGGCGCGGAGCCCGCTGGGAAGATTCTCGCTGGCGCGCCGTCGCTGCTCGAGGGTGTGCGTGCCGGCAATGTCGAGTGGACGCTGTCGGCTGCGTGTGCACCCGTTGTGCCCGACATGTCGAAGTGGTTGGCCGGTGTCGGCTCGACATCGTTGAGCCTGTCGATGTTGTCGAATTCGCCGTTGGGTAGTCAGCGGTTGCTAAGCGTGGGCATATTGAGCGGGTAGGTGGTTTCCAAAACACAGCCGGGGATTGCAGCCGTTTGAGACTCGAGGCGTCGCCAGATGGGCAGCTGGTGTCGGTTCGACACCGGTGGTTTTGGCGAGAACGGCAATGCGGGAATTGGCAACCCCACGTGCCAGTATTGGGATCTTCTCCACAATTGATTGCTGATCTGTTTGAATCAATTTGAAACTTTGGGGTAATAGATGGGCCACGCTTACCAGTGAGCACGTGGTAGACGAAAACAATTCCTTGAGAGTGCAGTTTCCGATCCTGGAGTGATGTCTGGTCTTCAGATGGTCCGGGGTCAGTGTAGGTCCATGTTGCAATCTGTGCCTGTGTGCCATCCAAAAGATGTGCAATTTAATATTCGGGACCGTCAGCCGATTTTATAGAGCGCGACAGGGTGGATGGGCTTTTGGCTCATCCTGATCTTGCTTTAACTCCACTCACCACCATTTGTAACTGTAACCAATACGTCTCTGGGCAGCTGACGACTGTCTAGTTGTTCTGGAAGTGCAATAGATGCTGGGTGTCCTGGAAGCGTCATCACCTTCTGTATTGTGTGCACCCCCATTTTTGTGTGCACACTGGCATTGTTCTATTTTGATTGTGGCCTGCTGCTAGTTGGTGCAGCTTAGCACCGTTGGTGGGCCAACTGCAGCTCCACTGCGGGGCTGCGCCCTCAGCAGTAGACCGTTCACAGACGATCCGCATATGCCTTTCCTTCCGGCCGTCGTGCCTGATTCATAATCATCATCACCATCATCATCATCGTCCATTTTCACATAACAAGGTGGTAGCTTGATTCTGCTGAATCCCGAGGCTGGATGTCATACGCAGCCGCTGCGCCAGCAGTCTGAGGTGGACCACATCATGGTGGTGGTGAGCCTCTCGTGGAGCGATCGCGCAACCTGGGGCGACAGGGAGTTGGCCTCGAGTGGGGTAACGAGGGATGTTCCTCACATGACGGCACTGCAAATATGTGCTCTGACAGATTTACTACCCTTCAGCATGGTATTCTGTTGTGTAATCCGGATAGCCCAATGGGGGCGGGTGCTGATGAGGTGGTGGAGTGTGCGTTGAAACTGCTCCACCCTGCCATGATCCCTTGGTCAGAGATTCGACCACTTCCTTGCCCACAATTTCCTTCAAAATTGGCAGCTCGTGCCCCTGAAGTTACCCCATTGGAGACCCAAGCTCATCCACCACATCTTATGTACAATTCCCGTGTTTGTCTACCTCGAAAAGAAAATGCGAAATACTCGAAATGCAATAAGCGGTAAATGCAGTACAAAATAGTGTAGCAGAGGCGTCAGCATATGTTGGAAGTTCGTGACAGGATTCACGTGCGATCACCTTCTGGACAGGAAAAAAAACAGGGTCGCCCCAGGCAGACTGTCCAGAGCATCGAGAAATTACAGAATGGACTTGGTTGATGGCGATTGCGCCATCTCAACAATATCACTGTCGAAGCCATTGATATCCAATCTATGCGCCTGCCCACGGAGCCTCTTGCTTGGCATTCTTCGAGGTTCGCTGCCTGGACCAAGGTTTAGGAAATAATCCCAAGTGACGCACCCAACACACCTGCTCCCTTTCCGTTCTGAACCCACCCACCACCTTGCACACCACCGCAGGAAGCGCTCTTGAAAACCATCCACCAAGCCACCCCTTTCCGTCCATACTCCGCCTCCTCTCGCTTCGAGTTCGTTGAATGGCCAGTCACGAAACAGTCCCGGAAAGGATGACTCACCCTTTCCCATGCGCTGGAGATCAGCCAAATGCCACATCCAAAACAACTGGAACCAACTCCTCCTGACAAGTTTGGATGTCCCGTCCCTATCATCGCCCAAGGCGCATGGGCACCCTGGCGGCCCGCTGGGGCAAAAGCGTCGTGACGAATTCAACACCTGCCATCCTCCCAAGGCTGCCAGCCCTTGCTCGCCATCCCACCGAGTAACCCACCACAAAACGGTCCCAGAAACGATGACTCACTCCGTGTGTGCACACACGTGTCCAGTTGCCAAGATTCGTCCGACAGTCCCAAGAAGCCACAACACACAAAGCAGTACCCGGGTCCCAGCACGATGAGTGTGCGTGTGCGTGTGTCCGAAACCAGCCCGCCCCTGAACCATGCCTCCTCCCAACAAAAAAGCCCCCACCATCACCTCGCGTGAAGAAAACCCAACCCCTCAGTTCCCCTCCTCCTGACCTAGGAAAGCCTGCTCTGCAAGGTCCAGAGCCCTCCCCAACGCTGCTGCCTTGTTTAGACACTCCTCATACTCCATCTCGGGAACAGAGTCCGCCACGAGGCCCGCACCTGCCTGGATGTGCACCACCCACTCCCGCCTGGATTTGGCGCCGTCGTACTTGTAGATGGTGTCCACGCCCGCAGTGGGTATGACCATCGTGCGCAGCGCCAGGCACATGTCCAGCTCGCCCGTGAAGGACACGTGGCCGATGCCGCCCCCGTAGGGCCCCCGCTGGTGCACCTCGAGCTCGTCGATGATCTGCATCGCCCGCACCTTGGAGGGAATGGGAACACAGGTAGATGTCAGGGCCCAACGGCTGTGGTCGCTAATAGTGGTGGAACGTTTTCGACAGTCCAAGGAGACTCAGCCACTGATGAGTTCTAATGCACAAGTCGATGTTAAATGAACATCGAGTTTGAACACGATGCAATACTCTTTGGATTAAATTAGAGCTCGAAGCAGTTTTGAGGAAGCTGCCTTTATTTCCATGCTTTTACTTCACACTGTTGTCTTGGCCTGAATGGAGAGCCTGCAGCTACCTCCTTGAGATGATATGTACCCTTTCATTCCTGATTGATTGGGCACAGCACCTGTCCTCGCCTAATTGAAAGGGCAGAGGCTTGTCATGTCGTGACGGCCATATACTACAACTTGTGTACTTATGTAACTTGTGTAGTACTCTGTGCCTGCTTCGTGCCATTCGATGTCGCCTGACGAGTGAGAGGCACCGCTTCACCAAGCTTGGCACAAGTGAACTTGCACACCTTTGGCGCGCCGCTGATCGTCCCCACTGGCAGCGCCGCCCTCAACGCATCCCAGGCAGTCAGGTGCGACCTCAGCTTGCCAGTCACCGTGGAGCTGATGTGCATCACGTGGCTGTACCGCTCGATCTCCATGAACTTGTCCACGCTCACACTGCCATGCTCTGACACCTTCACACGTCCATCAATAAACAACGATTCCATTACAAGTCCAATTGGCATCAGAAGCCACAGTGCCCACCATGGCACTGTGTAATTAGGCACATTCTCTGTGGTTATTTCTTCTAATGGCGATGGCACATCAAGCCACATGCAGTGCAGGGATGCAAGTCAGGTTGTTTGTGTCAATACGCTACAGACACATATTGTTAATGATCAGTTCCATTTTGCCATCTGTTGCTGTTGATCATTATCGGTTTTGTTGGATTGGTCAGAATGACTACGCTCATGGCTGACAAAATCCCAGACTGACCGTGACATATCATATGGCAGTGGCAATGTGGGGAGTGCGACCCTGGAGAGGAGACACCCGTATTTCTCTGTGTGGACTGTGCAACAACATCCTCAACATGTTCGAAAAACAGAGACTGGTTCTCTCTTCAGCCATCAGCATGGCATATGCTTAAAATCTGCAGTGCAGTTTTCTGGCTTCAAACTAAGTACCTGCAACACCTTTCATTCATACCTTGCCCACGTCATTTCGCCCCAGATCCACGAGCATGACGTGCTCCGCACACTCTTTCTCATCTGCCAGCAGGTCCTCCTCCAGCGCCTTGTCTTCTTCGGGTGTGGCACCCCGTGCACGTGTACCTGCCAGGGGGCGGTTGGTGATCACCCGGTTGCTGTCCACCTTGCACAAGGTCCCACAATGGATTCAATGTTCGGAAACTCTTGGAGGTCAGGGCTGGCTTGTCAAGTAAGGGACAATACACTGGAACGGGCACATTACATTATAATATTATTGCATTCCATCGCCTAATAGGCACTTGGGTGCTATGGTGCAGTTTGTCAAAGTCAACAGCTGAAATCAAGGAACTGCACCTTGAGCAAATTCTGGACACAACGCTGGGTTGGGGAACTTGCATCCAATTGTTGCCATGGGCTGAAAGCCACGATGTCCTCATTTGGCACTTCAATTTGCACACACTCAAGCCCAACCCTGACTGTGCCACGTCGATGACTCACAGTCTAACACAGAGTGTCAGTGGTTACTTGTATGTTCATGGATCAAAGGGACTGCATAAAACGATTTCAAGGAAGAACAACAAGGGTGCAGACTTTGCGTATCCATTGGTTCCATTGTTGTTCAATTAGTTGTGCTGCATTTGTCTTCAAAGAACAGAACAGGGCACTTGTGCCTTGCAGCCAACAGCCGGCATAGACACATTCACAGCGTTCGTTTGTATCTCATGCGTTCATTACTCCACTCACCACCCTGCTGCGATGTTTCAAAATAGTGGTCAAAGGCAAAAGAAAGGAATTGCTTTGTTGTCATCTATAATTGTCTACTGACATGGACAAACGCAATGAAAGCACTTGCGCACCTTGCGCGCACAGTCTCAAGTGGATTTTGTGTTTACTCCATAAGGGGCACAGTGTTTAGGTTGCCTATCTAGGTTACACATATTAGATTTTGTGAGAATAGCCACGAACAAAAAACAAACCTCTTGTGCCTTGCAAGCAACGAAAAAGAGAAACCGCTTGGTGCTGAGCCATGATACCATGCGATAAACAACACAGTCGTATATCCAGAAGTCACATTCTGAAAACATGACAGCAACACACCTTGCACAGGATCTCTGGGCTAGAGGCCACCATTATGCATCCACGGGCCTGAAGATACACCATATATGGTGATGGGTTGACCACCCGCAGTGCACGGTACACCTCAAAGGGGTCTGCAAATGAGCGTCGTTCGAACCTCTGACTAAGGACCAGCTGGAAGATGTCTCCCGCCTGGATGAGCATCGTTCAACGATTGAAATCAGAGGGGATTTGCAACAAAGGACATTAACAGAAATAGCCAAAATTCTGCAACAATAAGACTGCAGGTAGGAAGGATGCACATTCCTGGCCCAGGTGCTCCCATGCACTCTCCTGCAGGCACTACAAGGAGGAGCATCGCAGCACAGTCCCCGAAAAGTGGCAGACAGGCAACACAATTCAAGGCACAATCTTGGTAATCATCGATCCAATATACAGCTTCATTTCCAAAACACAGCCCAAGAACACAAGAAATGGGGTTTCTGTGTATTGTACATCGAAAACATGGTATAGGGCCACACCAGCAATCAGTCAAAAGGAACGACTGCACAATTGTTCTCTTGAGAACTGAGTACAGAATGGCATCACCACCATGGGGAAGCATGGAATGAACATTCACAGGCAAAGTGCATCATGCTTTCACTGGATGGTTACAAACACTTTTTCACTGTGGCAATCATCAGCATGCAGGGATCGTGATGCATTTAAACCTTGGTATGGGGGATTTCACAACTGAGGAACAAGCCTCAAACTAATCGCTGAAAGCACTTGCTACAAATGTGACAGCATGCAGTCGACATTTCACACATCCCTGCATCAGAAAAAATTGATAACAAATTACTTTGAAGTATATGATCAATTATGAATGTTCACCCTAATGCACAAATCGATGGGCTACATCCCATGAAGAAGAAACGCCTTGTTGCTGAGGGGGGAGATGCCAATTGCAAGGCCTGTTTCCCTTCTGTGCAAATGCTCAGCAGCACATTATTGGACCACATCCTCCACCTGACAATGGTGAATACATACTACCTCCGTCTCAAAAGTCGTGTGCGATCTCCAATTCTTGCTATAACTTTGCAAGATGCTCAATCGGTTAATCCATCACCATATTTGGATTCCTTCGTTGACTTTTGGGTTGATGTAGGATTTGAATGAATAAGTCATCACCATACAACATGACATTCACAACCCAATCAAAACTGCCCCTGTCCGATTCCATCAAGGAAATTCCATGCAAGTCCTGAATTCCCTCCAGTATTGCATTGGCCTTATTCTGGTATTTCCAAACCCATTTCTCACAAATTCATCAGGAACCTTGTTGCAGACTACAAATGGGTACTACGACGTCCTTTTAAGAGTTTCCACGTCACTACTTTCATGCATTTCGGGTATCATTGATTCCAGTATACTGAACCATGTTTCCCATGTTCTGGCTTTCAACGACTTGCTGTGTTTGCTTCTATCCAGGGCGTTTCATGGTCGATGTCAGTATGTACGGCCTTCCAAACCTCAGCAAATCCTTAAGATAGATACTGTTGCACTGATCAAGGTGCCTCTTGGTCCTTGACCACCACTCGCACATGGTTCTCGCCAACACCCCAAGTTTGCTGTGGACGCTTATCCTTTCCTTGCAAATTCTCTTTGGGATCGCATTGCATCTTCAAAGTATACCAAACCACCAAAGCCTACTCGTCTCCTACGGACAGCATAGCTCGATCCACTTCTTTGAAAGGGCGACGCAGGCATAGTGCACCCCACCCAACGCCCAAAAACATGCAAAGTCGCATTTCAGCTCCTCTTGGCATATCACAAGCACAGCAACGCCATTTGGAACATTTTTGGGCTCTGTGGATACTTCTTGATATGGCGCTTCGACATCTTCACAGTCAAATTTCCCGACTCACACGTTTTGACCTTCCCTTATGCAAATTGGAGATCGCACATGACTTTTGAGACAGAGGTAGTATAAAACACTGTGCGGTCGTCCAATTTGATATCTGACAGCATGAGAAACTTGACAACTGCACTCGCACGTGATCCACCTGGATGTGTTCCTTGGTCTCCTCCACCGCCTCACAGTACTCTTCCTTTGTCATGTCTGAGATTGAAGGGTGTGCAGGCTGCTTGTTGAGGCTCAGCCCCACACTGCCCTCTAACAGCTGTGGCGCATTCTTCTTTGAGATCTGTTCGCACATCTGCTTCAGCTGAGCCACACCATGCAGGAAAGCCTCCTCCAGAGACGCATGCGCCTCTGTGCTGACCCACACAACAATATAGGCAAGCTTTGCGGCGTTGTCAAAGATCACCACACGGTCGTACAATCCGAGATGAATGTCGGGGAGGCCGCGGTCGTTCTCAGGCGCTGAATCAAAGGCCAGCTTGTCCTTATACACATACCTGACCACATTGCATCAATGACAATTTGGACAATGTACAGAAAGAACAATGTTTACCATGCACGGATCCCAGATGCATTCACTATTCAATGCATCAAGCAAACAATCGATCAATTTTGCACTATAAAATAAGGGACATAAGAAATCCTCTGTATTGCACCATGCATTGTGTTGCACTGGAATTTAGAGTAGCACATTACACTTCTGTAAATGTGACTGCATTCTGACGTGAAATGCAGTACAGCAGTCACTTTGCCTGAGATGTGAACGTACAAAGCTGGAAAATGACTGCGCGGGAGATTGAAGTCTACTTTCTGGCACCAAGGAGGGACTGCAGCTCCCTCCAGCTTCAAGCTCCCAGTTCTCTATCTGTAAGAACGCTGAATTGCCCAAACTTGCCAGCAAAAACACAACATTGGGCATTGGATACTCACTAACAGTGCTAACATTCATGGACATACGGTGGGCAGCGATAAAGTGCCTGGCCATAAGTATTGTTGTGCAAGCAGAGAGAGTCTGGCTGTCTGCATTCCTCCTCAATTCTGCTTGCCAACTTTTGCCTCTCCTGTTGCTCCATTCCAGAGATCGCTCTGTGGTTATGCACAGTACAGATAAGGCCTTCCCAGCGCATTTCTTTCCCTTCACTTTATTTGCAAGTGATGGCTCCCACAATGGAGGATGGAGGGGTGGTGCAAAAAGACCCATTTGAACACACTTCATAAAGACCCATTCATGGGTGCAAGGGTGGGGCAGAACCACTGAACCACCATTTCAGGACACAACAAGGAAAATGTCCTGCAGTGCGTTGCAATCACTGCCTTTCCAACTGAAGGGAAGCAGTATTTACAGCTGATACAAATGCGCACACCCTGGATCAAGGTGAAAATATAGCAAACAACTCCTCCCCATACCACAACAGACAATGTACAGGTTTGATGTGTAGCAAAAACATCATATGGTGGAAAACTTTGTCTCACGACATGAAGCAACCTCAGTGTGCTGTCAGAGCTACAGACCCAGGGTCTGCTTGGTGGGCAATGGGACCAAAAGCGCTCCAGGGACAAATCCTTGTGACTGCCAACAACACCCAGAGTCACCAACCACAAGAGCAGGGAGTGACTCACAGTATGTTAATGAATGTCGGCAACGAGGGGACATGTTAGAGCTAGGGAATTTCGCACCTGACTGTGTCGTAGCCTGCGTAGCCAACCCACCCACCAGTGAACGCACCTGGCAGGTCGCCCACTGGCACAGCCCGCCAGTTGCTGCTCAGGCGCACTGGCACTTCCATGGGGTCTTCCTCCTCAGTGACTGTGCGCGTGCCTTTGCCGTGGTCCAGCACCACCACCCGGTTTTCATGCACCACAACCTCCAAGCTGGGCTGCGCCCCCAGGAAGCTGTACCGCCCCTGTCTACCAATCAAGAAAAGGAAAAACACATCAGGAAAAGGGGGGATATCATTACGATGGGCTGAATGACTAAGGCATTGCAAAGATGAAACAGCCACATGTGATGGCTGCCTGGTTGATCCATCAAACAAGCAAGGGAAACATTAGCAGAGAAGGGAGACTGTGGCATGATTGTTTTGGCTGAATGCTCAATCAAGCAATCGACGATCACATGGGAAGAGAAGGGAGAATGAGGGATGGCAAGCTGCTACTAGCAACTCTGATGGGAGGGAAAATGTACCTAAACATTCAAGTCGTCTCCAAATACATGGGGATGTGGTTAACACATCATGCCTGAATGCCTGAGAATTGGCAACCAACAGAAAGTGCACCATGGCCTGATCGCAATCACAAACCAACCCACTTCCCATCCCAATGACATGCTCAAGCACATAGTTGGATGCACATATCCTGGCTGGTAATGTCAAGTATAACAGCAGCCTGAGACATCTGCAAATATGGTTTCATGGCAAGCAAACGACAAATCGGTCGATCATCGCTTGCAATCTGCAAGGCCCTGGATTTGTCGTGGCATGCTGACAAACTGTTGTCACCAGAACTATCAAGATCGCACTACAGCCGTCCCACCCATCCCCACCCACATCCAATGCTGAAGTGAATTGATGTACAAGTACATCCTTGCAACTGTTGTGCCACACAGCGGTGCTGTTACACACCACCACTGTGTGCAACGCCCAGACAGCATGAAAGTTAAGAGATCTCTGGCGACCACATAGGGGGCCAATATCCCCAGCCTCATGCAGCATCAAAGGGCAAAGGGCGTGTGACAAACCGGAGCTGCCATCCAGACCAAAAACGAACTGAACTCGCCACAAAGAGTGGCAAAGTAACTTCGCAGCAACGGTAGCAAACAGAATAGCCCAACAACGTGCAAGGGCACCATGTCGTCAGCCATCACGTCGTCAGGCGGTGGGAAATTCAATCGAAATGGCGTTCCTTAAAAGATACAAAGATACAGAAGGCACGGTGGACTGTCTGGGAAGAATAGCCCCTGCATAGGCGAGGAAACGCTAAAGACATGTTGAAGAA